AGAGAGAGAGAGAGAGAGAGAGAGAGAGAGAGAGAGAGAGAGAGAGAGAGAGTGTGTGTGTGTGTGTGTGCACATGACGTTGCGCGCGTGTAAGTTCGCGCGTAACCGGAAGATTGGCGATTCTACGTGTAGAGTTTGTAATTACGGTGTCTCTTTATTATGTAACCGTGCGTGAGGTGTGTATGTATGCTATGCGTACGTGCGCGCGCTCGCTCGCCACGTATAATCGATTTATTCGCATGTGTGATCTCGACGAAGAAAATTGGTACTCTGGAATGCGAATTCGTTCTCTTACGTACGGCTTCTCGATCTCAATTCAGACAACGATCGACAATGAATGACACGCTGACATTCCTCGCGACCTTGGTTCTATTTCTGAAACTTGCTGGAAAATACAGCAACTGATTCTTAATGCAATTCCAATGATCCTGTCATAATTCAAATCTCGAGACCGAAGATATTTTGCAATGACGCGTTAAATAGTAAAGAGCAAATCCTTCTTGTAAGATATATTAGAGAATTTCGATATATAATCGCGGTGGCTTACGCTTCGATTTTTTATGGAAAATATTTATCACGACTAAACTCGTTTCGATTCCCGATCGTTATCTATCTAGTCTATTGAGCAGCCACGCAAAATAATACCCCTCCCCCTTCTTTTCCTTTTCCAAATTGTTCCCTTTCGTAGATGCGCGAGACACATTCTTCTTGCAACATCTGGAGACGAAAACTTTATTTCGCGATACGAAATCGCGTTTCAGAGTACTAGTTTAGTTATAAACATACACGCATGCACGCACGGGAACGATGCGGAACCAATGGATAAGCAGTAACAGCGAGACCCTTCGACCAACAGCGGCGCGTTTTTCTTTCCTTAGATGATGTCTCAACATATCACTCCGAGAGTTTAAATAGAAACGCGTCTCGCTTATCTCGTCTCGCCAGAGGAGCCGAGTCGGCGGAACCAATACCTGGCGATCGAACTTTTTCTCTCTTTGCTTTGTGCATCGTATCTTGCCGTTTTTGTCGAGCGGCAGCTGGAGTGTCAGAGGGAGGGTGGAAGGGGCGATTGCGATTGCAACGTGGCGAACGTTCGCAGTTCGTCGCGCGAATGACAGTATTTTCAGTTTTGTTTTTTTCTTCTTTTTTTAAATTATTTCCTTCGGTTACTACACTTTCGAATACTCTCTTTCTCTCTGTTTACCACTCCTTTTCAATTTTTTCCACCATCTATCTTCTTTTCTTTCTTTTTTGTATGTTTGTCTCTTCCTCTGCCTTTCATTTTCTCGATATGCATCATCCGCCGAGCACATTTCTCTGCTCGATCATGGCCTGAATTCTTTCCCATGATGAAAACATCGATCGACGACACGGTATCTAGGGAAATCGTCGTGTAATGTCTTTCTTCGTTTTCTTGTACGGTTATTCGTGAATCGCAAGCGCGCGTATGCTATTGTCGAGTCGTCAACGAAAAATAGCGAACGAAAGCACGATATCGAGAGAGATCATTGGATCTTACGATAGATTATTTTTAATTAGATTCTCAGCCGGTGTGTACATGTTCGTAATGCGAAAGCTTACAGGTATACGAAGTTGAAACCAAAGAGATGTACGGATATAACAACGTTGCGATATCGCTTTTTAGACACTACACTTTTTTAATCACCACGACTTGTATCGACGTATAAGTTAATTTAAACGAAATAATTTTACAGAATCAGAACAAACATCATCAAATACTCGGTTCCGTGGTAATCGCGAATGCCCAATATGCTTCTGGACGTTTTCACTTGTGTATATGGGTAGGAAAGACTGGTAGCAACTACTGGAGTAAGTTGGCAAAACCGATTGTTTCTACTATTTTTTAACAAGTTGCAGAATTAAGTAAGCAAAATTTTCATACGTGTTAAAGAGATAACTTTGAAATTTCTGCTTGCTTGGTTCTGAAATCTATTAAAGAACAGTAGAAATAATCAATTTCGTCAACTTATCCCGATAGCTAACTAGCTTCGGTCTTCCCTACTTTATTCAATCGCTTTACATCCAGATATTTGCGCGACTTAATTTTTTCTCGCGCGTTATAGATTTTAAGTATCACGACTTGCAACGTTCACTATGATTTTACTTCGACTCCAACCCTTTCTTATTTCGTTTTGAAAAAATGTTGAGATAGGTCTCGATATGTACGCATTTCTTAATCGCGATTCGATGAAAGTTCATTAATTATCATATAATAATTATATATTCATTCGATTGTTTAGTGCGATTGCGCACTGGCGTAGTTTATAAGAACGTGTTGTCGCTGAGAATCTTCTCGATATCGAGATTTATTTCAACTTGGCAGATTTTAAAAGAAATAATAATACACGCATATAAACCTGCGTACTTACACGTCTGTCATCTATAAATTTAGTTTTGCAAGAGTAAATTAGATTTTACTTGGAATTTTACTAATTTGAACGAGCGTTTTAAACGGGAGACAAGTGTGACGCGAATATTAGGATTTCGTGGTCCAATTTTTCTTCCATTTTATTTATCTCTTTTTCTTTTTCCTTCAGTTTCCTTAAATCTCCTTTTCTATCTCTTCTCTTCTTTTCGCCTTATCGTATCTCTTTCTTTTCATATTTCTTATTCCTTATTTATTCTGTATCACATGTGTATCTTATTCATTATCTATTTTATCTATTTTTATGTTTTTCTCTCAAACATATACACACACATACACACAAACATCATTGTTTAAACTAATCTTTTATCTAATCTATATTTTACCATATTTTATTCAGTCTCTTTGTCTCTGCCATTCTTAAATCATTATTCGTTTTTTTATGATCGGGGGAGGGGAGAGGAAATGTGAACTTCGCGACAAATTAATTGATGGTAGTCGGTGAAGCGACCCGACTGAATGCTATAAAAGTAGTGTTTGCGGTAACCGTGCGCAGATTGATCTCATAATATAATAATCGGGAGAGAAAGAGAGAGAGAAAAAGATAGAGAGGACAAGAGGAAGATATAACAAGAAATAAAAAAGGAATACGCGCGAGGCTTGTAGAGAGAAAGAGAATCGTCGTTGTAACGAGGAAGACGCTGTGACGACTACACAGAGCGTCTTGCTCCACATCTTTTTTTTATTGTTCTCGTTTTCTTTTAATTTTCTATAAACGGAATCCTCGTTGAAGCTGTACGTGAATGCCGCTGCGACGAGTCATACTGGACCGAATCATACTTTCGCGATAATTCTAAGCGAATAGAGAGACGCGGCTTCGAGAACGAGATAGAAGAGAGATCAGATAGACGAGAAAAAAAAGAGAGAGACAGAGAGCGAGTGATAGAGAGTTGCGGAGAAGATCGAGATTTTTACGTAGTAATGATTAAGTTGCGCGATGCGGTTTAGATGAACGCTTCTCCGAGAGTAAAAAACTGGGGTATGATCAGACACAAAAACGGAATCTCCGATTCTCACGTAGCTAAACGCAGTCATCTCGCGAAAGTCAGCTTTCCGTGTAAGATACTGAGACCATACATCCAAGTTCGAAGCAGACGCTTTTGCGACGTCTTCTTTTACGTTCGTATCGTCCTAGTAGCTACGTGTTTTAGAAGAGCGGAAGAAGTTCCTCTTGTATCCTGTGTCTGATCGTGCCGCATCTTTACTCACTACTCTGTTTCTCTCTTAGAAATGTGAGGCATGTCGGGATTTTGAGCCGAGTCGACGCCTCGGTAAAGCATATAGTGAGAATCCTGGAGGTGGATAAGAAAAGAGATAACGGGAACACAGGAAGGGAGGAAGAGAGACGATGGCGGAGATATAGGGATGTATGAAGGAAGGTGCACGTGCGCGGCGGAGTAAAGCATTTTTAAAAATACAAAAAAAAAGGATATATGTATATAGACGTTGTGAATCGGCTCTAAGCTCGTTGTGTGACCGTTTCGAGGGAGTTTCAGAGATAGAGAGAGATGAAGGAAGTGAGATAGAGGGAAGGAGGGAGAGATTGAGAGTATATGGGGCCGTGCATAGCCGAGCGTCCACCTCCGAAAGTCACAAAAGCATATTAAAATAGTACATGCCACCGTGTCGAGAATGATTGTGTGATAATTACAAGTGATTTGACCAGGCCACCCCCGCGACGATTGAGTGGATTGCTATTACGGGTTGCTTCTTGGTCGCATGTCTCTATAATATACGATCTACGATTACGCGAAACTACAGCGCGAGAAGAACGCGTTACGTGGATGCGGTTCTACCACTTAACGTTCCTTCTCTCTTTCGTCGTCCTGGCATGATCAACGTGCGATTAGAGAAGCATCCTGTATGTATATGAGTGGAACCAGCGCGATCGCTCTCGCTCGAATCGTCGATACAGACGACACGGTGTGTCCTATTGAGAGTTAAAGGTCCTACCAACGACGAGGGTGTCCTATCGAGAGGACACAGCTCGGGGAATTCCTCGCTCGCGTAGCTCGCCGTAACATCCCGGTCATGTTGATTCGATTAAGCATCGCGGTCGTAGCCTAATCTTATCATGGACTGATGCGAGCGCGCCCGGCCTCTCTGTTCTCGAGGCTCGCCCGGGAATATCGCGGAACTTTCCGCGGTTCCCCGGCCGTTCGCGTGTTCCCCGACGACAAGCTGGATCCCGTTCAGGTTTCGTCGTACGCGAGGATTCGAGCGACCGAGCGATCGCCGCCGTATGCGCGGGAGGTTGTATATGTGATGTGATTTCTTTTATATCATAACGAATAATGAACACTAAGAAATATTATAGTTTCATATAAGTGATATGTTATTTGTCATTTATTTTATCCCTTAATAAATGATGTTATATAAAAAAGGCAATCGAAGGTTCTTGTGCGTTCTTTTGCGACCTACCCGATCTGAGAACCTGTAGGAGTCGGAAATCTCAATATTGTTTATTATTTTTGTTGTATTATACATTGTATCTTTCGTTATTGAACTACTGAATAGCAGCAAGTGAAGTTTTGTTTCGCTATGCAAGTTTTGAGGAAGAGCTGATTTACCGAATAATATTTCCTTGCCTTGGAAAAGTGATGTGGAGGTGATGTGGAAGACTCCTCGCACATTTGTTTTGTACGTTACAAATTTTCTCATAGATCGCACCTTGCAGTCTTTCACGGAGCTAACATGCCTCTTAATTTTCACCTCGTTTCAATTGTCCGAACAGGTGCAGAGCAAGAAAACAACGATACGTTCGTTCTCTCATCTTACCATTTATTCATCGTCTATCAGGCATATACAACACATGTTACATAACACCAAACGTCTAAGTTGTACTCGATTAGCGCTAACGATTACTCATTCGCCCATTTTTGCATAAAATACTCCCGTCACGATCAGCTGGCTGCTGCTTTTCTCTTCTTTCTTTTTTCTTTTCGGCGGCGATATTTACAAAACACCTCGCAAGTACCTTCGTTATTACACATTACGCGCTGCATCTCGATTATCTCTCATAGTGAGAGAACGCGTTTATTAACAGGGTGTGTCTGAACGTCGTTCTGTGCCTAAATTGAACGTTGGATCTCGTGCGAGAGTAGCATGAACGTGCTCGACGGTAGGGATCATCGTTGATTGCCATCCTGGGTATAAACGGATGGCTGATTCTTGGGACGGAAGGACTTTTCATCGTCTATCCCTAAGTTCAGCGTACTACTCTCTTAATCGAGCAATTTTAACGATATCGTATCAATCGAAGTAACATTAGGCTTCAGCGTCACATGGACCACTAATTTGCAGTGATCATTTCACAACAACGCAAGCCTCGACCTCAAAGGAAAGCTATGTATGTTAGAAATAAAAATTTCTGGAACAGGATTGATTTACTGAAGAAGTTCCTATGTGTTTCGAGAGAGAGAAAGAGAGAGGGGAGTACGGGAAAAGATATTCCCCTCTTGTTCGTTTTGTACATCATAAATTCTTTCGTGAATTTTACAACCTTTCAACAAAGCCATCGGCTTCGACGTATGCTAAAAATCGTTCAAAATCAGGAGTGTTCTTATGATTATTCGTAATATAATATAATTCGTAATACTGAAGAGAGAGAGAGAGGAAAATTACGTAAGAAATAACGTAGCCTCTTCAAATATTTGAACTCGTTAAATTAAATAACAATCTCGATCGCACGGTGCCAAAGGAAATTTTTCTCTGAACTTAATACATTTCGTTGCAATTCGTTAATTAAAATTTTTTCACATCCCTTTAGATAGTATCGTGTTACATTACCACAATGTACTCGGAAATTTAATGGATAAAGCGGTGGGAGAACGTTGTAGATCTCGCGTCGATGTAATTATAATGCCTTGTGGACTAGCAAATAAAGCAAAATTCACCAATGAGAGAGGCCACTTTGGAATCATTTCACTGTTTTATCGATTACACAGTTTTATTGCGTCGATTTCCACGGATTTGTCGAATGTGTGGACAAGCGGCGCACGTTCATATAAACGCGGTTCAATATAAATGCGGTTAAGCTCTCTTCGTGTTTAATGTAAAATATCGACAATGATTCCGCGATATTGTGCAAAACTCGTAGGGATCTAAAAGTGAACGCTCGTGCTTTTTGACGGATGAGTCGACACGGAGTCGATTTTCACCGCTTTTCACGACGCATGATACGCTTTTTGTACTTGTTCTTCGATTACGACTAATGTCATTGTTGGTTTGTCTCGATGAAGACGTCCTTCGGCTCTAATTACCGCTGTAATCGTGCGGCGGTGCATGATGATGCATGTGAATGTGTGGAGGCAGTTCGACTACGGGTAGGCTACTCCTCTGTAATGCAATAGGTAATAATTATAACAATGCTAATTATACCGCAAAGCCTGAAAGTGATGTGTGATATGTACGGCTTTCGTGCGAGCTTTCTTCTGAATATTACTGTTATCATTATATCATTTACGTCCCAACATCTCAAAATTGAAATAATTACTTCGTACGATATTAATTATATAATTATTTCATCGTTTTTTCATCGTAATTAAGAGTTTTATAATTGAAATACCTTTCGATGTTTATGTATGATATTATTGATGTTCTTGATGCTTATGAATTTCTCAATCTATAAATTGGTACTAGTATAAATTTGGCTACAAATAATCGAATTAATTACTGAAATACCGAGTCGGAATGCTGTTAACGAAATTCGATAAAGCCCCATTTAATATTTTAATCGAGTGCCAGTAAAACCTTCATCTTGTGGCATCGAATTATTCATTAGAGGAAGATTGAAGGGATAATGTATATATAAATTTCGCGTCTGTTCTGCTGGAAAATAAATCCGCTCACTAGATACGTTAATTAAAGAACGTTTGAATACAATTATGAATTTAATGAATGCGCGAGAGTAAAGGAGCGGTGAGTATAAAATATAATTGAATAACGATATAGCGCGGAATCGACTTTTCTCCGGATAACGTTACGATATAGTGCAATGTAAAGTTGGTTTTGGATAATTGAAACTAAGTTTCATATTGCATAATGAGTTTTCACAGAAGATACGTAGAAAGCACTTCTTAAATAAATTTGGAATTTCGCACAAATTCCAATATCAGAAACATAATATTTGTTTGTGTGTATAACAGAAAGAAATAATAAATTTTTATTTTAAAAAATGTAACGTTTAACGTTACAGATATTATGAAATTACTAGCGTAGCACACGTTTGTGTTTGTGTGTGTCCTAATTATAAATAAATAAATGTCCTATTATAAATCCTGTCCTATTATAAATAAAATTTCAACTCAAATTTTCTCACAAACTATAAGTTGTCCAACGCGAACTTTGCAGTGTGACTCAATAGTTGAGGAATGATTTGAAAATAATTACCTGGGATCTCATCCCGTTGATAGGGGTGGCAGTGGGATTATCCGGCGGATAGCCGATCACGTGCGTGGAGCACTTGTCGCAGGTGCGTCGACGTCGTCGAGACGACGCGTGGCAACGTAAGGCACGGCAGAGCTCGCGTGCCATTTCCGAACAAAGCGATTCCTGCTGTTGATTCGGTTGTTGCTGCTGTTGATGTGGCTGCTGGCACTGTTGTTGCTGCTGCTGCTGTTGCTGCTGCTGCACGGCCTGAGAAATTCCCTGCAGAGAGCCGGTGGTAGGTATCGGCATCGGAGACCTTTGCTGGCAGTGGATAACGACGATTTATTCGAGCGTGTTGTTTGACACTTGGAGCTTTATTGTGATACATTACGATATATAAGGCGTCTTAGAGTCCGCGGAAGTGAACATGTAGCATTGTTTTTGAAGAAACTTGGAGGAACTTGTCCATTTCTCTTAACGAAAATATTGAGATATTGATACTTCTTGAGAGTGTATGAAGTTGGCACCCCACTTTTTGAAATTTATAATTTTGAAAGTTGTTCCAGATTGTTCTGACTTTGTACCACATTGTTCCAAAGTGATATTGCTTCATTCGAAACGGTTTTCGAATAAAACAAAAAAAATGATTTTTTGAGCTGGCACCCCACTTTTCGAAAATCGAACATTCTGATACCGCAATAGATTGTTCTAGTTGTTCCAAACATTGTTCCAAAAGGACAAATCCGTAAGTTGAATTATAAGTCCAAAAAATGAAAAAAATGT